GAGTTATGAAGCATCTGTACCTCAGCTACTATCAGACAGAGAAAACTTGAGTTGCTGGTTAGGAAGGTGAGCCGTCACATTTGATTCTTCCAGCTTCTTTTTTTTGTTGTTGTTGAGACGGAGCCTCACTCTGTTGTCCAGGCTGGAGTGCAATGGGGTGATCTTGGCTCACTGCAACCTCCGCCTGCGGGTTCAAACACTTCTTCCTCCCTCAGCCTCCTGAGTAGCTGGGACTACAGGTGCCTGCTTGTAGTTTTAGTAGAGACGGGGTTTCGCCATGTTGGCCAGGCTGGTCTCGAACTCCTGACCTCAGGTGATCTGCCTGCCTTGGCCTCCCAAACTGCTGGGATTACAGGCGTGTGCCACTGCGCCTGGGTGATTCTTCTAGCTTCTTAACAACTCTTCCTATCCTTTTATTAACTTATTGAAAAGAAGTCAGATACTGAAAAAAACAGCTTACTATTATCTTACAAAAACCATGGTAGCATCCTAGAAGACCCCACTCAGGTTAGGAACTGTTCTGAAAAAAGAAAAACGGGGAAATGGTTCTGTTTGCTTGGTATGTATAGTTTATGTTTCAACAAAATTGCCCACCCTGTCTTCCCCTTCCTCCTGTTCTTCCCCTTATCTCCTCTTTAACCTCCCCCATACCCCTACAATAAATTCAAAGCAACCATTTTCCTAGGCTGACTGCAGACCCTCTACATTAGTGGTTCTCAACTAGGGACAGTTTTGACCTCCAAGGGACGTTGGGCAAAGTCTGGAGACATTTTGGTTGTTCTGATGTTATGTGTATGAGGGTACTGGAGTGTTACCGAGGTCCAGCCAGGGGTGCTTCTGCCTGCCCTGCAATGCGCAGGACGTCTCCCACAACAAAGACTTTTCTGCCCCGCCGTGTCACCAGTGCCAAGGTTGACAGCCCATGCTCTGGATGCTGCTCATGCCCCCTTCTGTTGGGTTTTTAGTAGTCATCTTATTTTTCAGATGTTCTTTCCTTCCACCTTTGTGCATTAAGCTGAACTTAGTTTGTATTACAGATAATGTTCTCTGAGGGGGGTCACTAAGTCAACACACACTCTCCTGGATTCAGCAGTCTTATGAGGGACACTGGGAAGAGAGAGTGCTGGGAGACCCAGGTTTGAGTCTTTCCTCTGCACTCCAAGGTCAGATAAATTTTTTTTTTTTTGAGGTGGAGTCTTGCTGTGTCGCCAGGCTGCAGTGCAGTGGTGCCATCTTGGCTCATTGCATCCTCCGCTTTCGAACAGCCTTGGCACTGGTGACACTGGGGGCCAGAAAGTTTCGTTGTGGGAGACGTCCTGCGCATTGCAGGGCAGGTAGAGGCATCCCTGGCTGGATTCCAGTAACACTCTAACACTCTCACACACATAAAATTAGGACAAGCAGTTCTCCTGCCTCAGCCTCCTGGAGTAGCTGGGACTACAGGTGCATGTCACCACGTCCAGCTAATTTTTGTATTTTTAGTAGAGACAGGGTTTCACCATGTTGGTCAGGATGGTCTCAATCTCCTGACCTCATGATCTGCCCGCCTCAGCCTCCCAAAGTGCTGGGTTTACAGGTGTGAGCCACCGTGCCTGGCTGGTCAGATAAATCTCATTAACTAAGTAACCATGTTTTCCCAACATCAAGTAAGACTAGTAAGGGTTGAGTATCCCTTATCCATGCTCGGGACCAGAAGTGTTTTTTATTTTTATTTTTTAACTTTTTTTTTTTTTTTTGGATGGAGTTTCGCTCTCGTTACCCAGGCTGGAGTGCAATGGCGCGATCTCGGCTCACCGCAACCTCTGCCTCCTGGGTTCAGGCAATTCTCCTGCCTCAGCCTCCTGAGTAGCTGGGATTACAGGCATGCGCTACCATGCCCAGCTAATGTTTTGTATTTTTAGTAGAGACGGGGTTTCACCGTGTTGACCAGGATGGTCTCGATCTCTTGACCTCGTGATCCACCCGCCTCGGCCTCCCAAAGTGCTGGGATTACAGGCTTGAGCCATCGCGCCCGGCCAACTTTTTTATTTTTATTTTTTAGAGACAGGGTCTTACCAAGTTGATCAGGCTGGTCTCGAACTCCTGACCTTGTGATCCATGCGCCTCGGCCTCCCAAAGTGCTGGAATTACAGGCGTAAGCCACCACGCCCAGCCGTGTTTTTGATTTTTTGATTTTTTTTTTTATTTTGGAATATTTGCATATGCATAGTGAGATATCTTGGGGATGGGACCCAAGCCTAAACATACATTTTTTTAATCTTGGCTCACTGCAACCTCCGCCTCTCGGGTTGAAGCGATTCTTCTGCCTCAGCCTCCTGAGTAGCTGGGATTAAAGGCATGTGCCACCATGCCCAGCTAATTTTTGTATTTTTAGTAGAGTCGGGGTTTTACCATGTTGCCCAGGCTGGTCTTGAACTCCTGACCTCAGGTGATTCACTGGCCTTGGCCTCCCAAAGTGTTAGGATTACAGGCGTGAGCCACCATGCCCAGTCTAAACATAAAATTCATTTATATTTCATACATACTACATTAGTTCATTCTCACACTGCTAATAAAGACATACCCGAGACTGAGTAATGTATAAAGGAAAGCATTTTAATTGACTCGAAGTTCAGCAGTTCAGCATGGCTGGGGAGGCCTCAGGCAACTTAGAATCAAGGTGGGGAGGTGAAGCAAGCACATCCTTCTTCTTGTGAATAATTTTATCGGCTGGGAGCAGCACTTTGGGAGGCTAAGGCGGGTGGATCACCTGAGGTCAGGTGTTCAGAACCAGCCTGGCCAACATGATAAAACCTCATCTCTACTAAACATAAAAAAAAAAAAAAAAAAAAAGCTGGCTGGATGTGGTAGTGGGTGCCTGTTATCCCAGCTACTTGGGAGGCCGAGGCAGGAGAATCACTTGAACCTAGGAGGCAGAGGTTGCAGTGAGCTGAGATTGCGCCACTGCATTGCAGCCTGGGCAACAAGAAGGAAACTTCGTCTCACAAAAACAAAAAAATTGTGAAATCACATTTATAAATATTAGCTACTTACTTTGTAGAATAGAAATGAGAATAGAGAGGCTTAGAAACATTGGTTAACAAAGATGCTAAACAGGCATCTACAAGGCTCTTCATCAAGGATTGTGGAAATACCAGGCATTTTAGAACATTAACCCTTAGTACCAGCCTGGGCAACATGGTAAAACCCTGTCTGTATTTAAAAAAAAAACAACTAAAAACAGCCGGGTGTGGTGGCACATGCCTGTGGTCCCAGCTACTCGGGAGGCTGAGGTGGAATAATCACTTGAGCCCAGGAGGCGGAGGTTGCAGTGAGCCAAGATGGTGCCACTGCACTCCAGCCTGGTAACAGAGCAAGACTCCATCTCAAAAAAAGAAAACCACCCAAAAAATTATTTGGCCCTGGTGGTGCTCACTTGTAGTCCCAGCTACTTGGGAGGCTGAGGCTTAAGGATTGGTAGAGCCCCAGAGGTGGAGGTAGCAGTGAGCCGAGATCATGCCACTGCACTCCAGCTTGGGTAACAGAGTAAGACCCTGTCTCAAATACAAAAGAAAACCTCATAATAAAAGCTGGGAACAAGATATGGGTGCCTGCAATCTTGGCAACTCTTGCACGTTATCCTGGAGGTCTTAACCATTAAAAAGAAAAGTCATGTTAAAGTACTAGACAGGAAGAGGCAAAACTGGTATTACTTAGAGTAATTGGATTTTCAGTCAATAAACTATTGGAACTGTCTAAATATGAGGTCGGTATTAGAAATCTGACAACATTCCTATGTACCAATGGTAGCCATTTAGCAAATCCCCATTCGTAAGATCATCAAAAAGTATGCAGGATCTCACCAGCATAGAAGATATTGATGGAGGAAACCATCATGTTTTGCTGAAGGACAGAAAAGAAACATGTTTTATAGTGAGATTTACCCGAGGGTAGGTAATATGCTGTGGCTAAATTATCTCCGTGGTTTTATTGCCAGGGAATTGAGGCTCAAAGTGGGTTGAGTCGCTTTCTTAGGATCACGCAGCTAATTACCATGTCTTTTTGAACCTTCCCACTGGACTTACGTGTACTTCCTAAATAGGATTTCATATTTGTTTCTGATAGACATTTTCTGGTAGACATTTTAAGTTTCCTTTGAGTGACTTTTTGTGTTCAAGTGTGGCTTTGCTGGATTCCATCATACATCGTTAGAGACGTATTTCTCTTGACATTTGGGGACAGGAAGAAGTCTAGTGCCCCCGAATTGGCCACCCATCTCATCTTTCTGCCATTGCTGATGTCAAATAAGAGACATGGTTCCCTGGCAAAAACAAGGACCTACGATATTCAGGAATCATGGCTTTAGGAAGCCTCTTGTTGGCTCAGAAACACTTTATTGGGGGTAAACTTAAAAATTAGATAACAATTTTTTGGTGACTCAAACCCAGTTGATCTGTTCTCGAAATGTCTGTCATTTAAAGAATCCCAGGGCAAACTGCTACACTTTCATTGGCTTTGTAAATTGGGACTTCTATAAATTGGGCTTCTAACCACATTAGCATTGTTAGTATGGTGGCATTTTGATAAATATGCACACATTATATCATCCCTTTAATACCAACACAGTACCACGAAGTGTTAGGTCTTATCACCTCCATCTTACAGATGAGAAAATTGAAGCTGAGTGGTTAAGGTGCATGACCTTTAATGACAGAGTTAAAATCTGAACCCAGGTAGATCTGGGTTGTAGCCAGTGTGCTATTCTGCTAGGCCTGCCTAGTAACTCTTAGATACCAGCTTTCAATTGTGGCCTCTTAAAATAGAAAAATGAAAAATCTTCATAAAACTTAACAACTTGCTAATGCTGTATTTAGTAGACTAACCTAAAATAGTTTGGCTTTTTAATGAATTTGTGAAATGCTGTAATTTTCTTTTGTTGTTATTGATGTACTTGTTCAAATTCCTTTTGAGAATGCACATTTGTTTTGAAACCAAACCTGTCTTTCTTGCCTACATTTCAGTCAGAACTAAGACATGGTCCGTTTTACTATATGAAGCAGCCACTCACCACAGACCCTGTTGATGTTGTACCGCAGGATGGACGGAATGATTTCTACTGCTGGGTTTGTCACCGGGAAGGCCAAGTCCTTTGCTGTGAGCTCTGTCCCCGGGTTTATCACGCTAAGTGTCTGAGACTGACATCGGAACCAGAGGGGGACTGGTTTTGTCCTGAATGTGAGGTTAGTTCCTGATGAATGAATGCATTACCTGCCTCGTTTCCTCTCCTTTCTCTTTCTTCCTTTTATTTTTAAATTTACAAATAATCCAGATAGATGGAAAAGAGAAATTTCTTGCTTTCCACCTGTTCTATCCTGGTCACCCCCTTCTCGACCATCATCGGCAGCGGCCGCAGTACTGCAGCTCTTGGAAAGACAATTGCATGGAGTTTTATTTCTGGCTCCTCATGAGTCCTTGGATTGCTTGGAGATCAGCAGTTGTCGTCTCTGAATCTTCTGTGATGAACTTTTTGAAAGTTAACTCCAAAATCATGAACGGCTGACACATTTCGAAAAGATCTCGTGCTGTTCTTCTCCCTCTTGGATGCCATTTCCTGCCGCGTCATCGAATCATCAGCAGTGGCCTGGCTGAGAAGACCGCGTTTGACTGCATATTCCCCGTGGTAGCCGGCTGAGGCTTTCTTTTGTGTGACAAGTATTGCTGAAGTGCCTGTTAGGTTGGGGATGTGACAGTGCCCCAAAACAGGCATGAATCACATTTTTTTTTTTTTCCCAACAGAAAAGGACAAAAACCAAAATAAATGATGTTCTATATCGTGAATTAAAAAGAAAAGTGCTATGAAGAAAACAAATTCAGGATGGGAATAGGAAATCTGGGCAGGGGGCAAGGTGTTTTCATTTTGAACATGGTAGCCTGGGAAGGCCTCACTAAAATTTGAGGAAGACTTGATGAAGGAGAGGAGTGACCTGTGAGGCCATTTTGGGGAGACCTTCCAGGCAGCCAGCCGGAGGCAGCGGTGCGGGGGTTTTGTGGGGGCGGTGTGCATGCCTCCTGTGTAGCAAGCCCAAGCACCCTTATTAGGCCAGTTATCAGGGTTTCCACTGTTCTGAGGTGGCTCCTGTTCTTGGAGACCCTCAACTCTGGTGCTCTTTTGAATCACTGAAAATAAAAATGTCATCTCTAAATAATTGTCCTCCACAATTATTTAACGTGGAATGTCTCTTGGATTCAAAGATACATTGGAGGCTGAGCATGGTGGCTCGTGACCATAATCCTAGCACTTTGGGAGCCCGAGGTAGGATATTGCTTGAGCCCAGGAGTTTAAGACCTGTGAGGGCAAGATAGCCAGATGCCCATCTCTGCAGAAAATTTTAAATATTAGCCAGGCACGGTGGTGTGTGTCTGTAGTCGCCGCTGCGTAGGGAGGGTGAGCCTCAGGGATAGCTTGATGTCAGATGGCTGAGGCTGCAGTGAGCTGTAATCAGGCCATTGCATTCTAGCCTGGACAGTAAAGCAAGACCGTGTCTCAAAGAAAGGAAAAAAAAGGTACATTGGAGTTCCATCTCAAATGAGGAAGTTTTCCACGCGTGAAATGGAAAGATGATCCAGATAATCTTTACTAGGGCGAAAAGCAAGTTGGCAGGGTGCAGTGGCTCACACCTGTAGGTCCAGCACTTTGGGAGGCTGAGGCAGGCAGATAATGAGGTCAGCAGATCGAGACCATCCTGGCTAACACAGTGAAACCCCGTTCTACTAAAAATGCAAAAAATTAGCTGGGCAGGGAGTGGATGACAAAAAAAAAAAAAAAATTAGCTGGGCATGGTGGCGCGTGCCTGTAGCCCCAGCTACTTGGGAGGCTGAGTCAGGAGATTCTCTTGAACCCGGGAGGAGGAGGTTTTAGTGAGCTGAGATTATGCCACTGCACTCAAGCCTGGGCGACATCGAGGCTCCTTCTCAAAAAAAAAAAAAAAAAAAAGCAAGCTATAGGTCAGTGTCTGTTATGCTTTTGTGTAGGGAGAGAAGAAAAATAAATACACAAAAAGAAAGTAGACATGAAATCAATGTGATGACGTCCTCTCTCTAATATGGCAAAAGGTGGCTGCTGTTCTCTTTGGGTTATTCTAGATGGAGAAATATGTGGAGTTTGCATTGCACAGTGGCACCCTCCTCTGCACGCAGAGCCTGACCCTATCTACTACATTTGGCATGGGATCTGGAACCTTCGCCAATTTTTGTTTGTCTTGGCCACCTCTTCCCAATTGTTTAATGATATTGCAGAGATGATAGCGGCTCTGATAGGATGCTTTTCCTGCAAATAATAGTTCTTTTATTTTTATTTGAGACACAGTCTTGTTCTGTTGCCCAGGCTGGAGCGCAGTAATGAGATCATGCTCACTGCAGCCCTGACCTCCTGTGCTCAAGCGATCCTCCTACCTGAGCCTCCTGAGTAGCTGAGACCACAGGTGCACGCTACCACACCTGGCTACTTAATACGTTTTTTGTAGAGATAGGATCTTGCTATGTTAGGCTGGTCTTGAACTCCTAGGCTCATGTGATCCTCCCACCTTGGCTTTCCAAACTGCTGGAATTGATAGGTGTAGCCACTGGGCCCGACCAACAAGTAATAGTTGTTAATGCAAGCACTAGTCCCTGATGGAAGGTGGCTGAAACAATACGGATTTGTTATCATCAGAACTCAGAGACAGAGGCAGGGCCAGGCCAGAGTCATTCAGAGCCACACTTTTTCCATCTCATTGTTGAGGTTATAGGTTCCCCATGGCCATAAGATGGCTGCTGGGGTTCAGGTATTATGTGTGTAGACACAAAAATTCTCCCAAAATTTGTGACATCTTGGGATGTCACAAAAGACATCCCAAGAGATGTCTCTCCTTGCATCTCTTTTTATCAAGCAGAAAAGTTTTGTCCATCATCCCCAGCTGATTTGCCCCTGGGCTCATTGGTTAGCATTGGATCACCAGTCCCTGGTATAAAAAAAGCCTTGAAAATTGCTTATCTGGTGCTTTTTGTTTTGTGCGAACCAGGCACTGCCTGCCAGGAAGAAGGAGTGGGGGTTGAGAGGGAATGAATGGTAGTTGGGCAGGCAGCCTTAGTGTTTGCTATGGATAAGTTACCTGGAACCAAACCAGATTCAAACAAAACAGGTGCTCTGTGTCTAAGATTCAGGTCCCTGAATTTCTCCCAGGGATGAGTTGATATGGCAGTCAACTGGAAGACTGAATGTTTCAGGCTCTGGTAGCTAAGCAAATAGATGCGTGCGTCATGCACTGTTTTCAGCTTCCGAGTGACTCTTGTGTTGGCCTTTTCCTCGACAACCAACGAGACACATCTGAGAGTTCCTTTTGGAGGCCCCAGAGATGTGAAAAATGGAAACTGAATCCAAATTAATTGGAGAAAACTTTTCTCAGCTCTCCCTACACAGATGGTTAAAGAGTGTTTCCTGACATGATCAGAATTTGCTATTTTTGTTGTTGCTGCTACATAAGGATTCTGAAGCCTTAAGATATAGTACCAGATTTCATAGCAGAATCTGGTTTCAGACGTTCCTCTGGGTCTCTCCTTTGATGGGAATTTCCCTTATGAGCTGATACCTCTTGCCCATGGAGATAGGCAGTTAGGTTAGGTTGCGCTCCTTGTGTACTTTGATACAATGTCTTAGGTGGGTTCAAAGTCGGGGAGATGGACAATGAATTATTAGTCCACTGCCTTCCCTTGTAATCTTTCTGCAGGGAAGTCTGTCCCTTTCCATCAGTGATGTCTTTGAATTAATGCCTTGTCAGTTTCCAGAACGACAGCTCAGAACCTTAAGAGGATCAGGATAAGTGGCTGATAAGTATTCATCCTGTGAAGTAATCACCCTGAAATCATCCGTGGCCTTTCCTTTCTTTTTTTTTTATATATTATTTTGAGACAGGGTCTTGCTTTGTCATCCAGGCTAGAGTGTAGTGGCACAATCAAGGCTCACTGCAGCCTCTGCCTCCTGGGCTCCAGCCTTCTCAGCCTCCAGAGTAACTGGGACTACAGACGTGTGCTACCATGCCTGGCTCATTTTTGTATTTTTTTTGTGGAGATGGAGTCTCACCATGTTGCCAGGCTGGTCTCTAACACCTGGGCTCAAGCAGTCCGCCCACCTCGGCCTCCCAAAGTGCTGGTATTATAGGTGTGAGCCACCGTGCCCACCCGGCCTTCCCTTTCCTATCTCGTTCTTGAAACCTAAAGGTTGTAATAATGATTTTTCAGGCCCTGTCTACCCACATCTTCCCTCAGATCATGTTATCTTCATGAGCTAAAAATGCTTCCTGATAAGGTAATAAATAGATGAATGTGCTTTTTAATAGTTACCCACTGATCTGGTGCATTTTGTTCCAGTAGATCTGGTGTGTCTTGTTCTTTGCTAAGCGAAACAGCAAGGCTCATTTGGATGAGAATTGCTTTTTATGTGTGAGTTGACTGAAAAAATAGAAATCAGTACATGGATGGTAATTTCTTTTTCTAACTGGACGTTTGTGTATGACTTTGACTTGTAGAAAATTACAGTAGCAGAATGCATCGAGACCCAGAGTAAAGCCATGACAATGCTCACCATTGAACAATTATCCTACCTGCTCAAGTTTGCTATTCAGAAAATGAAACAGCCAGGGGTAAGAAGAACGTTCCTCTTGGTACAAGTGTAAATGAATGTAGTGACGTTTGTTTTGTTCTGTTAATAGCGTAGCTTTATAGGCACCTAATGTATTCTTTGGGCCTTCTTGTGTCCCCAAATTCAAGCGTATGTAAATCACACATCAGCTATGATGGCATTCAGTTAATTCTCAGTTGTAGTAGTAAGCACTGTATGTCCCAAAGAAGTTTAATTGGTACATTAGTCTGGTCTCACACTTTTGTAAAGATACTGCCTAAGACTGAGTAATTTATGAAGAAAAGAGGTTTGTTTTTTTTTTTTTTGTTTGTTTGTTTTTTGAGACGGAGTTTCGCTCTTGTTACCCAGGCTGGAGTGCAATGGCGCAATCTCGGCTCACCGCAACCTCTGCCTCCTGGGTTCAGGCAATTCTCCTGCCTCAGCCTCCTGAGTAGCAGGGCCTACAGGCATGTGCCACCATGCCCAGCTAATTTTTTGTAGTTTTAGTAGAGACGGGGTTTCACCATGTTGACCAGGATGGTCTTGATCTCTTGACCTCGTGATCCACCCGCCTTGGCCAACCAAAGTGCTGGGATTACAGGCTTGAGCCACCGCGCCCGGCTTTTTTTTTTTTTTTTTGAGACGGAGTCTTGCTCTGTTACCCAGGCTCGAGTGCAATGGTGTGATCTTGGCTCACTGCAACCTCTGCCTCCCTGGTTTAAGCAATTCTTGTGCCTCTGTCTCCCCAGTAGCTTGGATTACAGGTGCCTGCCACCACACTTGGCTGATTTTTTTTTTTTATTGTATTTTTAATAGAGATGGGGTTTCATCATGTTGGCCAGGCTGGTCTCAAACTCCTGACCTCAAGTGATCTTCCAGCCTTGGCCCCCCAGAGTGCTGGGATTACAGGTGTGAGCCACCATGCCTAGCCAGAAAAGAGGTTTAATTGACTCAAAGTTCTGCATGGCTGGGGGGGGCCTCAGGAAACAATGATGATGGAAGGCGAAGGGGAAGCAAGGCACGTGTTACATGGCAGCAGAAGGAAGGGGGTGGGAACTGTCAAACACTTTTAAACCATAAGATCTCAGGAGAACTCAGGCACAATCACGAAAACAGCACGGGGGAACCACTCCCTTGATCCAGTCACCTCCCACCAGGTTCCTCCCTGGACATGTAGGGATAAAAATTCGAGATGAGGCTGGGTGGGGACACAGCCAAACTGTATCAATTGGGCAATGACATAGTAAAAGTTGAGGGGGATAAAAATTCTGATTGGCTGCAAAGTGAAACCTCATACAACATCCAGCAAGGAGAGCTTTGTGCTTCTATGCTTAACCATGGGAGTTAGGAAAATCCATTTCACTGAGGAAGCTGAGCACAACACAGTTTATTTATGTCCAAGGTTTGATGATGGAACCTTCAAACTCAACCAGTGACTTTTCCACAGAGGGTGAGAATGTGGTTAGTTCCTTTAATTTTGAGAGGGATTTAATGTATAGCCTTTGCCCCTTGAGGAAACTGTGCATGTGGGGGCTGGGCCGGCCAGTTGTGTACCTCACAGTGGTTCCCCACCTGTGAGTTTCAGCCATACCATAGCCACTGTGGTTTGAATATTTATCATAATACTTTTCAGGAAAATGGCAGAAAAATAACTTGGTTTTGAAAATACTATTATTTTGACAATATAATAAGCATATTACGACCTTTCTTCTATAGATGAATATTTTCTTTTCTTTTCCTTTTTTTTTATTTTTTGGAGGCAGTCTCATGCTTGCTTTGTTGCCCAGGCTGGAGCACAGTGGTAAAATCATAGCTTACTGCAGCTTCAACCTCCTGGGCTCAGGTGATCCTCCCACCGCAGTCTCTCAAGTAGCTGGAACTATAGACGCACACGCCACCACACCCAGCTAACTTTTTTTTTAATCTTTTTTTTTTTTTTTAATGACAGGGTTTCACTATATAGCCCGGGCTAGTCTTCAACTCCTGGCCTTAAACGGTCCTCCTGCCTCAGCCTCCCAAAGTGCGGGGATCACAGGTGTGAATCACTGAGCCCGGCCCCTAGAGATGAAACTAGAGAAACTTGTGGATGTGGTGCCCCCCATCCGATTTGCACAAAGGCACCATATGGGCTAGTGGTGACCCTTTGTATAGCTCTTGAGAGTTTGCTAAGTCCATTAATATACAGAAATTTAGATTCTTGGGGCTAATCACTGTGGTTTTGTTTAAAAAAAAAATTTGCTTTGAATTATATTCTGAAATGTTGATGTTATTATAAAAGAATTAAGAGTATGCCAATTGGCTACCATTCAGTTGAGAACCATTAACAAATTGGGCCCTTTTAAACAAAATCTCAAAATCTCATTCAGTGGAAGCAAAAGGTATAGCCTTAGTTTGGTTTACTTTTTTTTGTTATTTATTTATTTTTTTCATTTTTTTTGTTATGCCTCATGCCACGCAAGTTTGGTTTGCAGAATTTCTTTTTTTTTTTTTTTTTTTTTTTTTGCTATGATAGAATTTTTATGTTGAGTATGGCAAGGAATTACTTTCGATTTTCATAGGCTTAATTATATGTGCTAATGACAATTTACAAAACGAATGAGTCACACAGACTTGTCAACCCTGTAGAATTAAAAACCAAGAAGAAAAATTGAAGAAGACATTAATTTCTCAAGTAAATTGTTAGATGTCAAATCAGTCAGGGCAGAATGTTGCTGATTTTGTTAAAGCATCTTTTTAACTTACAGTGCGTATTGTAATTGTCACTCTTAATGTAAGAGGACAGGATCTGTTTCTTGAGTGTATAGTGGAAACCAAACCAAGAATAAAACTGCAACACGGTTGGGCTCATAATTATCAATCACCAGGCAGAATTAGAAGGTAGACCAATTTGAAGCTCCCCAAGGTCAGCCTTTATGGAAACCTTTAGCACTGTATTAGCTGAGAAGCTGTCTCTGTTTTTCAGGCCATTTGTTAGGATGAATGCTTGGTTCTCCACAGTAATGATGGCTTCGTTCTTGCGCATATCTTCTCTTTTATAGACAGACGCATTCCAGAAGCCCGTTCCTTTGGAACAGCACCCTGACTATGCGGAATACATCTTCCATCCAATGGACCTTTGTACATTGGAAAAGGTTGGCCTCCGTCAAAGAACCTGACCATTGTAGCCAGCAGTTGTCGAGATGCCTAAGGGTCTTCCCTCACTGCCCGTGTTCTATCTCAAGTTCGACATAACAATCTTAAATTGTTTCTCTGCATTTTCGTTGCTCCTTTTTTATTTGGATAGAAGAACTCTTGATTCTCTAACATCTTTCCTTTGTAACATTCTTCCAAGATTGCAATGGAATGTTGAAATTCATTGGTAATACTTTCGTGATTCTAGCTTTTTACCTGCAAAAACCATAGCTTCTAAGAGTTAGTGCTTTCATTGTGTTGAGCGTTACCTCCCCTTTCTTTTGAAGGTGCTAATGAGAGCGGCAGGAAGGGAGAAGAGAAAATTAAGTGTCTGGAAAGCCTCCAGATTAGCAAAGATGTAGCTTCTTAGAATTTGACCTCATCTACTAATAAGGATGTTTCTTGAATGCCTGAAGGTGTTTTTAAAAGTTCATGCTGGGGCCGGGCGCGGTGGCTCAAGCCTGTAATCCCAGCACTTTGGGAGGCCGAGGCGGGTGGATCACGAGGTCAAGAGATCAAGACCATCCCGGTCAACATGGTAAAACCCCGTCTCTACTAAAAATACAAAAAAATCAGCTGGGCATGGTGGCGCGTGCCTGTAGTCCTGGCTACTCAGGAGGCTGAGGCAGGAGAATTGTCTGAACCCGGAAGGCGGAGATTGCGGTGAGCCGAGATCGCACCATTGCACTCCAGCCTGGGTAATAAGAGTGAAACTCCGTCTCAAAAAAAAAAAAAAAAAATAAAAGTTCATGCTAAAATTCCATGCTGCAAATTACACTTGTAACACTTTAGATGGTGTACATCATCCTGATGCTGATTTTCAGACTGTTCACCGCAAAATATGGGCAGTGAAATGCATTCACAAGGAAGAACCATTACTTCATATTGTCTTCCCTGATAACTCCAAAACCATACATCCAGTCTTTTTTAGGAAATTGTGGAATAAAGAAGGCATTCAAGAGATGGAGTTGGAAACTTAGCTTTATAAATGAAGAGCTGTGGAACTTTAGATATGTTCCTTAACATTAGTATACCTCAGTTTGCCCTTCTGTAAAATGGGTATGATAAGTACTTCATTGAGTTATTGTGAGGTTTGTGTGAGACTAATAATAAATAATGTATAAATATATAAAATGCCCTGTTGATTGGAAGAAGCTGCATGATAAATGACAGCTACTATAAGAGAAAATTCCAGTTATTGTAATAAATTCAAAGAGTGCATTTTTATAGGGTTATAGATCTGAAAAATGAAAGCATTCTTTAGTCAGTGTGTTGTAGGCTAAAAAGAATCTCCTTGGGAACTGAGTAGAAGAACGCTAATTAATTTGGCAGATGACTGCTAGGAAAATTATGTGGGGACACAGGAGTCACTGACTGTGGCTTGTCTAGACTCTCCGTGATTATGCTCCATCGCTTTTCTTCCCAGAACGCGAAAAAGAAAATGTATGGCTGCACAGAAGCCTTCCTGGCTGATGCAAAGTGGATTTTGCACAACTGCATTATTTATAATGGGGGTGAGTGGCTTAGATGACTTTTAAGAAAGAGAGTATGCTGTGTGTTCCACAAATTCCCGCCCTTCATCAAAAATCAGGCTCTTAATTCATACAGAGAATACTTGTGTATAGATTGTGCTAGTATGTGTGAATAGGAGGCAGTGACCATGTTTATTTTAAGGTATGAGCTGACATCTAACATGGCTCAAGGCTGCAGGGCATGGCTTCCTTTAAGTGTCGTTTCTATAAACCTTATTTTAATGGAAGTATAATTGCATAAAATAAAACCCACAGACTTTATGTTTACAGTCATTGAATTTGACAAATGTGTAACACAAGATCCCGAACATTGCTGTCGGCCTATTGGATTCTCATACATGCCCTTTTCTAGGAAATCCACTCTCAAAAGGAACCACTTTCTGCTTTGTGTTAAGATAGATTAGTTTTGCTTCTTCTAGAATTTCATGTAAATGGAGTCAGAGATAGTGCTTTTTTGTGTCTGGCTGCTTTCATGCCGTGTTGTATTTTAGGGAGTCATCTGTGTTATATGTTATTGGTAGTTCCTTTTTTTGTTGCTGACTAATTTTTCTTTTCATTTGATCAATATGCCACCATTCATCCATTTACCTTGTTGATGCTGATGGCCATTTGGGTTGTTTTCAGCTTTGGGCTGTTATGAATAAGCTGCTGTGAACTTGCTTATGCAAGCTTTTGCGTGGACATAGGTTTTTCTTTCTCTTGGGTAGATACCTAGGAGTGGTGTTGCTAGCACAGTGAGTAGGTTTTTATTTAACTTAATAAGTTTCACCAAAGTCTTTTTGCAAAGTGGTTCTGTCATTTTACATTTTACCAGCACGGTATATTAGAGTTCTCTCTTGCTTCACACAATATGACGCGAACCCTTGACACTGTCTGCCTATTCTCCCAGGTGTAAAATATTATGTCATAAAAAAATACTATGTCCTGGTGGTTTTAATTTGCCTTTTCCTACTGATCAGGGGTGTTGAGTATCTTTTCCTGTGCTTATTAGTGACTTGTCTGTTTTTGTAAATATCTATTTTGCTTATTGCAAAACTTGGATTTTTATTTTTATTTTTTATTTTTTATTTATTTATTTTTTTTGAGACGGAGTTTCACTCATGTTACCCAGGCTGGTGTGCAATGGCGCGATCTCGACTCACCGCAACCTCCGCCTCCTGGGTTCAGGCAATTCTCCTGCCTCAACCTCCTCAGTAGCTGGGATTACAGGCACGCGCCACCATGCCCAGCTAATTTTTTGTATTTTTAGTAGAGACGGGGTTTCACTATGTTGGCCAGGATGGTCTCCATCTCTTGACCTCGTGATCCACCCGCCTCGGCCTCCCAAAGTGCTGGGATTACAGGCTTGAGCCACCGCGCCCGGCCTATTTTTTATTTTTTTTCTTGAGACAGAGTTTCACTCGGTTGCTCGGGCTGGAGTACAATAGTGTGATCTTGGCTCACTGCAGCCTCTGCCTCCTGGGTTGAAGCGATTCTCATTCCTCAGCCTCCCGAGTAGCTGGGATTACATGTGTGTGCCACCATACCTGGCTAATATTTGTATTTTTAGTAGAGACAGGGCTTCACTATGTTGAGCAGGCTGGTCTCAAACTTCGGACCTCAAGTGATCTGCCCACCTTGGCCTCTCAAAGTGCTGGGATTATAGGCGTGAGCCACCATGCCAGCCTGTTTGCTAGTGTTTAAGGAAAGATATATGAATGGGTATATATCTGCTTTAAGCACACATACTGCATTATTAACTATAGCAAGGCTGAGAGTGCAAGGAGGGGGAAAGGAGAGGTCCACAGGCATTAAGAATTTGTGGGGCAGGCGTGTGGCTCACGCCTGTAATCCCAGCACTTTTGGAAGCTGAGGTGGGCAGATCACTTGAGGTCAGGGGTAGGAGACCAGCCTGGCCAACATGGTGAAACCCCGCCTCTACTAAAAATACAAAAATCAGCTGGGTGTAGTGGCGCATGCCTGTAATCTCAGCTATTTGGGAGGCTGAGGTATGAGAATCGCTTCAATCCGGGAGGCAGAGATTGCAGTGAGCTGAGATCTGTGCCCCTGCATGCCAGCCTGGGGGACAGAACGAGACTCTGCCTCAAAAAAAAAAAAAAAAAAAAAAAAAATAAATAAATAAATAAATAAAGCATTTGTGTAAAGATGATAAACTCAAATATATCGAAAGGCCCAGCGTATCAAATTATATAGGATGAGCTCAGGTGGAAGAATAACAACATGAGCGCAAGCCAAGAAGGCTGCATGCAAGTCAGGTGATGTGCTGTGGATCGTGGGGAACAGGGAACTCCTACCTGGCCTGGAAAGGTTGCTGTTGGCAGCTTCAGTGCTCCATTGGTTATAGTTAGCAGATCTCCTCAGTTTTCAAGGCATACCAGAAATCTAGGTATATTGTGTGTGTTTGTGTGTGTGAAATCTTCCTGTCAACAAATTTACAGTGTCTAAAAATACCATGAGCTTCAAAGAAAATGTTACTTTTGGACCATCTTTGTCCTCTGGTTTAGTGAAGAGTTAGACCTGGGGCTAGATGCTTATTCTGTTAGCTAAGTAATGTAAGTGATGACTCCTGAACCTTGGCTTACTCATTCATTAAGTAGACATACTTTATTCCTGCTTCCTAAGATGGGTTCTTGAGGGGCTGAGAAGAAAGTGTGTGTGCGTATGTCTGTGTGTTTATAGAGATGGGGGTCTTGCTATGTTGCCCTGGCTGGTCTTGAACTCCTGGGCTCAAGTGATTGTCCCACCTCGGCCTCCCAAAGTGTTGGGATTACCACGCCCAGCCCAAGAAGAAAATGTGTTTTGCAGCACCAGCCACACCAGAGCTACTCAAGAAAATGTCATCTTTCTCTTGTACCGTTCTTGGATTGGCATCTGGGACAATGGGTAGAATAAGGACTTTTTTCATTAATTAGAGACTTTAGAATGTCAAAGCATTTTAAGAATATTAATCCATGATCTCTAGGGAAACCCACATAAATTGCTCATTTGCAGAGAAGATGACAGCAAGGTGCCAAAGAGTCGTTGACATTGATGGGAGGAATCACACACATAATGTGAATCATTATGTTAGAAGCCAGGAACCTCTGGTGTTAGCCTTTAAAAGCTTAATCTTGTGGGAAAAGCAAGTTAAACACATTGTTCATGGAAGTCAAGTCCCCAGGCCCAGTGTTACAGTATTTCCATTAGAATTAATCCTGTTTTCTTATTCCCTTAGGAAATCACAAATTGACGCAAATAGCGAAAGTAGTCATCAAAATCTGTGAACATGAGGTATGTGTTTCCACTGTCCTGTTTTAGATGCACCCAGAGGCGGGGGATGGAGTAGCTGAAGTTTCCATTTGCAGAAAACCCTATTAGGTAGCAGAGGTGATTTTGGAATTTGTTGAGGCAGCACACCTAGTCTTTGAGAAAGGAAAAGCAACAAAGAGGGGCCCCAGAAAAGATTTCTTGTTTTTTACCTTTGAGTCATGAGTAAGCACTGGGCCACCTGTCTTTTCCCGGTTACTTAGATAGAATTCATTATTTCTGACCTTGGCCTCACCGTCTGGTGTTACGTGGAATTCATCATTTCTGACCTTGGCCTCAGAGACCAGTCCCTTTTGTGTCAGGTCCCTTTTGGTTCTCTTGCAGAAGAGGATTTGGGGTAATGGCCTTGACTGCTTCTGGGTGGGTAGCCCAGGTGTCCAGGAGAATCTGTTTTCTTGCAAATGCCCATAGTTGTGATGGTGTGAATGGAATGGACCTCTTAGGTATGTGAGCCGTGAGGCTCTAGTGGTTGTGGGACAGACTGGCAGCCAAAGTGGTATGAGGGAGGCTTTCTGTATTAGATCCCATTGTGAGAATAAAAAACTGAGATGTAATGGCCTTCACCCTTTTCAGTGTGGTCTCATTCATTCATAAAGAGAAACTGTTCAGAAGCATTGAGACCCATCCACGTATGTCTTTTTAGATATATAGATATAGATCTATCTGGCTGTCTATCTGGATGGATAGATACAGATCTATAGATCGATAGATCCAGATAGATAGATATATAGATACCTGGCTGGGTGTGGTGGCTCACATATGTAATCCCAGCACTTTGGGAACCTGAGGCAGGCAGATCACTTGAGTCCAGGAGTTCCAGACAAGCCTGGCCAACATGGCGAAACCCCATCTCCACTAAAAATACAAAAATTAGCTGGATGTGGTGGAACATGCCTGTAATCAGATAAACCAAGAGGCTGAGGCAGAAGAATTACTTGAAACCTGGGAGGTAGAGGTTGCAGTGAGCCAAGATGGCACCACTACACTCCAGACTGGGTAACAACAGAGTGAGAATATTTTCAAGAAAAAAAATGATAATGTCTATGTAAATTTATATCTATACATAGATATAGTTATCTATGTATTTTTTGAGGCGGGGTCTCAATCTGTCACCTGGGCTGGAGTGTAGTGGTGTGATGATGGCTCATTGTAGCCCCTCCTCCCAGTCTCAGGTGTTCTTCCCACCTCAGCCTCCTGGGTAGCAGAGATTAAAGGCATGCACCATCACACCCAGCTAATTAGCCTGGCTAATTTTTTTTTTTTTTTTTTTAAAGAAACGGGGTTTTGCCATGTTGCCCAGGCTGGTCTCAAACTCCTGGGCTCAAGCAGTTCTTCTGCCCTGGCCTCCCAAGGTGCTGGGATTATAGGACTTAGCCACCGTGCCTGCCTTATGTCTGTATATTTATAGATAGAGAGTTTTATAACCTGCTTTTTCACTTAGTTTATTTTATGTATTTTCTCTGTTTCCTAGGTAATTAAACTTGTAGGAAGAACAGAATTTTTCATGACTGTTTAGTATTACATACAACTCATGGACATTCATTTTTACTCCTTGTCATTAAGGGTAGTACCCAGTTTTATCAGCATTTTAAGTAACAAAGTGATGAATATCATTGCACATTTGATGATTTCCTTAGTTTAATTTTTAGAAGTAAAGTTACTCTGAGGCTGTGAACATGTCAGATGTTCCAGTTATAATGAGGTGATGTCCTTTCCAATATCGGGAGTTGTAATTACAAAACTCTATGTCCCCCGCCCCCCACAAGAATGAGATTTGTAAAGACAGTAGGCATCTTACTGTGATTTTACTTTGCATTTCCTTGACGACAAGTCCTGATGGGCTGTTTTGGATATGTCCCCTTGGAATAGCCCAGAAGTAGACCGGGCCAGAAGCAGGAAATGCGTTCTACCATCCATGCATTTGTTTGTGCATTCATTCACTTATTTATTCACTGACCTGTGACGTCTGTTAGTCTTATAATTATTGAACACCTGTTACATATGTAGCACCTTGCATGATGATAGGTGCTAAAGAGAAGAGTAAGGCTGATAGAGGTAGAAAGGAATAGCAAATTACAGTGTAGGGGACCTGCATGGGCTTTGGAGCCTGACTGCCTGGGTTCAAATCCTGACCATGCCACTTTGCCGCTGTAGGACTTTGGGCAGGTTACTCAACTTCTTGGGGCCTCATTTTCTTTATCTCATGGAGTGTAAGGAATAAGTAAGTTAATACCTACAGAATTCTTAGAATGATACCAGCACACTCTAAGCCTTCAATAAATGTTAATGTGCGCTATTGATTACTTTGTCACTTGAAGCACTTTACATTTATCTCATTTAATGTCTTGTAACAGCCCTTTGTGGTGGGTGCTGCTTTCCTTTCTTTTCAATAGATGAGCAAGTGGGGACTCCGACAAGAGAGGCAGCTTACCCCAAAGTCACAGAGCTAATAAATGGTGGAGTCTGAATTGAGATCCTAGAAAGGAGCTTCTGGGGTCTTTGGCTGTAAGCTGCAATGTTACTCTAGGGGAGTATACTTTCTTTTTTTTTTTTTAAGATGGGGTTTCACCATGTTGGCCAGGATGCTCTCAATCTCCTGACCTCGTGATGCGCCTGCCTCGGCCTCCCAAACTGCTGGGATTACAGACATGAGCCACCGAGCCTGGCTGAATGTACTTTTTTATGAGAAAAAAGGACAATAAATAAATTAACTGAATTTTCAGATGGTTGTCAGTGGAGATGAAATAGGGCAACATGGTATGCATTAGCTACTCTGGATGTAGAATTGAGCTTGGCAAGCAGAGCAGGCCAGAGTGGCTAGAAGGGATTGGGAGCAGAGCTGCAGCGGAGTGAGCCCAGACAGGTGGGCTGAGGCCAGATCGCATGTGGCGTTCAAGGAGCCTGTCAGGTCATTAGACTTCATTGTTAGTTTCTCAGCTTGATACTGCTGACACTTAGGGCTGGAGAATTCTTTGTTGCAGGGACTGTCGTGTACCTCTTAGATTCCAGTAGTCCCCCATACCTCCTTTGGCCCATTTGTGACAATCAAAAGTGTCTCCAGGCTGGGTGTGGTGGCTCATGCCTGTCATCCCAGCACTTTGGAAGGCTGAGGCGGGTGGATTACCTGAGGTCAGGAGTTGGAGACCAGCCTGGCCAACATGGTGAAACCCCGTCTCTACTAAAATCACAAAAATTAGCTAGGCTTATTGGTGAGTGCCTGTAATCTCAGCTACTCAGGAGGCTGAGGCAGGACAATCACTTGAACCTGGGAGGTGGAGGTTGCAGTGAGCTGATATCGTACCATTGCATTCCTGCCTGGGCGACAGAGTGAGAATCCGTCTCAAAAAAAGGAAAAAAAAATGTCTCCCGACATTGCCACATGATCTCCAGGGGTAGAGGGAAGGGTTAAAGTGCTCTGACAGAGAACTACTGGGTATAATTGGAAGTCACTAGGGGCTTTTAAGCAGGAGAAGGACAAGATTAGATTTATGTCTATAATAGGTGGTTCTTGGTTGGCATGGATCAGATTTATGTCTATAATACGTACCTCTGGGTTGGGTGTGGTGGCTCATACCTGTAATCCCAACAGTTTGGGAGAGGCTGAGGCGGATGGATCACTTGAGACCAGAAGTTTCAGACCAGCTTGGCCAACATGGTAAAACCCTGTCTCCAAGTACAAAAATTAGCTGGGTGTGGTAGTACATGCCTGTAATCTTAGCTACTTGGGAGGCTGAGGCACGAGAATCCCTTGAACCTGGGAATTGAAAGTTGCAGTCAGCTGAGATAGGGTCACTGCAGTCCAGCTTGGGCAGTAGTGAGACTCTGGAGAGAAAAAAGAAAAAGGTGGCTGTGGCTGCTTTACAGGTAATGTCCATAACGGGGGTAAGAGCGAAAGTGGGTGACGTGGGGAGCTAGCTGTTGCATTGGTCCAGAGAGAAAGGATGGTGGCTTGGACTGGGTGGAAGCATTGGGAGTGATGCATAGCGCGGTTGGATTCACCTCCAAGGTATTCCCTCTGTGGGAATTTAAAAAATCTTAACCTTCAAAATCATCAAGCATCGATTGAGGTCCACAAGATATCCACCCCTGGGGTGACACATTCTAATGTATTTTTGCTTTACAGATGAATGAAATCGAAGTATGTCCAGAATGTTATCTAGCTGCTTGCCAAAAACGAGATAACTGGTTTTGTGAGCCTTGTGTAAGTTGGATTTACTTTGCTTATTTCATTTACTGAACTCTGTGCCATGGATGACTACCCCAAGACAGCTTTTTCCAGGTGGCTTATTAGATGAAACTTTGGATGGAGTTTCAAGATAAATTTTTGCTGAAAAAGTTATGGCTGAGAAAAAGTAATCCAGGTAGGATAAACCTCTTAGGCTGAAAGTTCATGCGCCAGAGATAGCATCATGGTTTCCTGGGTTGATTAGCCTGGGCAGACTGCAAGATGCAGCGTAAAAGGGAGCTCATCAGAGATGGGGAGGGCAGCAAAGCTGTACAAATCCTAAGATGAGCTTAAATCAGTGTGTGATTTACAAATCATGTTGGTTCTATTTTAAGAGGTTTGAAAATACTTCCCTGGATTAACTCCATAGTCCCTCTAAAACATGCTTCTTGGGGGAAGTAAAGTCACCCTAGTTTCCCCATGGATCTGCCTTTTCCAAGCTGAGGTTCCGCAGAGAGAAGTACATTGTTGGGGTGCACTGGTGTGTGTGTTGGGGGTGGTGGGTTGGAGTGGATTCAGGGGCAGGATGAGGCAAGGAAAGTTGAGAAAACATACTTTACATCTCTTTGTGCCTTTGGAGATTAACACTGGAATAACGAAGGCTCTCCATAGCTTTCAATAAAGAATAAAGATAGCAAAATATTGCCTCTTGTTAGATCCAAGGCATGATGCACATTGAATCCAAAGGTAACAGACGGTATTGGTGTCATTATCTCTGTGCATGTTGCATAGAAAGGTGAAATCTTTTGCTCAATGCTGCACAAGTAATAATGGCACAGCCAGGACCCAACCCTGATTTTGTCATGATCTTTTTTTTTTGTTTGTTTGTTTTTGTTTTGTTTTGAGACAGAGTCTTGATCTGTCGCCCAGGCTGGAGTGCAGTGGCATGATCTCAGCTCACTGTAACCTCCGCCTCCTGGGTTCAAGTGATTCTTCTGTCTCAGCCTCTCAAATAGTTGGGACTACAGGCACACACCACCATGCCCGGCCCATGTTCCTGTTTTTAGTAGAGATGGGATTTTGCCATGCTGGCCAGGCTGGTCTCGAACTCCTGACCTCAGGTGATCCACCTGCCTCGGCCTCCCAAAGTGCTGGGATTACAGGTGTGAGCCACCTTGCCCAGCCTTCTTTCAGTTTTTGATTTCACCATTTAACTTCATTTGCAGTTTTGTCCAGGTGTCTTGGCCGCACAGCATTTAGAGAATACCACCCGGGCCGACCCTGCTGGAAACTTCCCTTTCCACTAACGGCCTGTGTCCCACAATCCTGCTTCATCCTCACATACCAAGCTTAGTGGGTATATTGCTGCCAAATGTGTACAAACTCTGGATCTTGTTTTTCTTTTCCTAGAGCAATCCACATCCTTTGGTCTGGGCCAAACTGAAGGGGTTTCCATTCTGGCCTGCAAAAGCTCTGAGGGATAAAGACGGGCAGGTTGATGCCCGATTCTTTGGACAACATGACAGGTGGGAATTAATAACAGGGTTGGAACATGTAGCTTTCACTGAACTTTGATACTGTTATTAGATGAGAAAAGAAGTGGAGGCTGTAGCTATTATTTTCATGATTGTCATGATAACCAGCCATTGATCTTGTTGAAATGAATTTTCCTGAGGTATGTTAAGCTTGATAATCACGTTGGCTACTGTTTTCTAAGTTGTTGAAATGAATTTTCCTGAGGTATGTTAAGCTTGATAATCACGTCGGCTACTGTTTTCTCAGGTGTGCTAGAAAATAATCTTACTTTACTGAGTCTGTTGATGAAACCAGCATTGGAATGGGTTCTGTGACTATTTGAAATGCTGCTGTTCTTTTTTTTTGTTTTGGTTTTTGGGAGGAGGGGGTTTCTGAAGTAAATTAAACCTCCATGCAAATTGCTTTCCAAATCATTCTTCCAAAGATGAGAAGTAGTTTCCCAGATTGCCAGTAAATGAATGTCTTATCATCATGCTGAGTAGTTCTTTCCTATTCCCTTTTCTCTGAAGCTGCAATGGGAAATTATAAGGGGTTGCTGTTTTGACAGGTGTGAGCCCTCCTTCCCAGCCTTCCTGCCCTCCCCTTTCCCTCCACACATGGCAGAGTGAATTATTCCAGCTAATAGCAGTTCCCTGTAGAGCAGAGCCCGCTGTGTGCTTGAGAACAACAGGTAGGCAGAGATGAGCAGCAGGTAATATCTTAGTCCTCTTTTAGCAAGTTATAATTAAGTAAGGCAAGGACCCTTTTGAAGCCCTACTGATCAGTTTGAGAAAGCGTGTTAGTGTATAGGGGAGACTACTTAAAATACATACACTAAAAATGATGTACACGCACAGAGGGTCCAGAAGCTGAAATTTGTTTCCCCTGTTAAATTCTGCAAGTCATCTTGCTGACCTAAAGAGTGAATTCCCAAGTCATTTGCAAACTCATTTCCTGGGAATCCCAACAGTCCACTGTGAGAAGACAAAACAGAAATTATTGAGATGGTGCTGGATTTGGTAGGAAGTATCACACCTTGACTTTAAGTCCTTTATTCCTTCATTCAGAGAAATACATATTTGGTGCCTGCTGCGTGCCAGGCTGTGTAGTGGAGGCTGGTGATTCAGATGTTCCTGCCCATGTGAAGGCTGACATCCTAGCGGGGAAGAAGGATGGGACAGAGGTGAACTAATAGGCAAGATAATCTCAGATCAGGAGGTAATAGTGGGGACCTGGTATGAAGATCTGGGTCAAGGGACCAGGAAGAGCAGAGGCTCGGGAGGGGAAGGACTGAGGCTGAGAGGGTTCAGGAAATGCTGGGAGGACAGTGGTTTGAACAGGGTCAGGGGAGGAGAGGATGCCAGGAGCTGGAGTGAGAGGGGTAGGCAGAAGTTCGGATTTTATTCATCAGAGCATGGCAAATGTGAACCATCTTGATGATTTGGGATTCTTACTCTATAGATTATATAGTAATATAATAAGAGTAGATATACTCAGGGCACAGGCAGGGTGGTAGACAACAGTATCTACCACCTTGCGCCCAGTATTCCCAGACCCTTAGGGTTGATGGCTCTAGTCTCTCAGCTGTGACCGCTCTGCAGGGACCTCCATCTCTCACTTGCCAGAGAGCCACTGAGGGCAGCTTACAGGGCATGAAGAACAGCATGTGAGTTGGCCAGCTCTGTGTCAGCAGCTGTTTCCCAAAAACTTTTGTGTGTTTAGGTCTTGCTTCTGGATGAGAGCTGTCATGGAAGTTGGCCCCCTTCTGTTTGTGCAAAAGAAAGCAGCATGGGTCTGATGATCACGAGTTTCCTACCCCTCCTAGCACCTGCTGTGTCTGCTCTGAGGGAGTGCACCACGCTGTCAGGCTTGTTTTGGTGAGGGGATCCTCTGGAGGTAGTTGTTCAGGACCTTCCACAGTGGTGGAGAAACAACTTTGGAGGTCTCGGGATGTTTTAGTAGGCTTTGGGCAGGAAGTTCTGACAGTCATTCTTTTTTGCTTTGTCCCCCAGGCTGGTGTGCAGTGGCAAAATCTCGGCTCACTGCAACCTCCCCGCTCCTGGGTTCAAGCCATTCTCCTGCCTCAGCCTCCCAAGTAGCTGGGACTATAGGCATGTGCCACTATGCCCAGCTAATTTTTTGTATTTTTAGTAGAGATGGGGTTTCACTGTGTTTCCCAGGCTGGTCTTGAACTCCTGGACTCAAGTGATCCATCAGTCTTGGCCTCCCAGAGTGCTGGAATTACAGGTGTAAGCCACCGTACCTGGCCTGGTTTCATTTTATAGAGGCACAGGTATACACAGTTATGCAAAAATACAGGAAATATTTTATTAAATGCCTGCAGAGTTAAAAAAAAAAAAAAGTGGACACCAATTGGTGCTTTAAGTGCTTTTTTGTAGAAGCTGCTTTTATGCCCATTTTATCAATAAAAAAACTTAAGATTAGAGCAGTCCTGCACCCAGGGTCACATAACACAGCTAGAGAAAAGCCACCTTGGTGTTGGAACTAACATAGTGTGAAGCTAGATATTGTCCCCACCCAGAGACTCTATTTTGTTAAGCAAATCTAATTTCCCTTGAAATATTTCCTGGGTTTGTTTTATTTAATTAATTAATTAATTAATTTAAGATGGGATCTTACTTTGTCGCCCAGGCTGGAGGGCAGTGGCTTGTTCAAGCAATTTTCCCACCTTAGCCTCCTGAGTAGCTGCAATTACAGGGGTGCGCCACCACATCTGGCTAATTTTTGCATTTTTTGGTAGAGGCAGGGTTTCACCCCTGGTCTTGATCTCCTGACCTCAGGTGATCCACCCACCTCAGCCTCCCAAAGTGTTAGGATTATAGGCGTGAGCCACCATGCCGGCCCTGGGCTTGTTTTATTTATTTATTATTATTATATTATATTTATTTATTTTTCACAATTTGACCTTTCAATGTTATCCAATATTATATTTAATTTTGAGACAGAGTCTTGCTCTGTCGCCTGGGTAGGAGCATAGTGGTGCAATCTTGGCTCACTACAACCGCTGCCTCTGGGATTCAATTGATTCTCCTGCCTCAGCCTCCTGACTAGCTGGGATTACAGGTGTCTGCCACCATGCCCAGCTAATTTTTTTGTATTTTTAGTAGAGACGGGGTTTTGCCATGTTGGCCAGGTTGGTCTCAAATGCCTGAACTTGTGATGTGCCCGCCTCAGCCTCCCAAAGTGCTAGGATTACAGGCATGACCCACTGTACCTGGCAGTGGGCTTATGTTAAAGAAAAGATGAGGGCCGGGCGCGGTGGCTCAAGCCTGTAATCCCAGCACTTTGGGAGGCCGAGGCGAGTGGATCACTAGGTCAAGAGATCGAGACCATCCTGGTCAACATGGTGAAACCCCGTCTCTACTAAAACTACAAAAAATTAGCTGGGCATGGTGGTGCGTGCCTGTAATCCCAGCTACTCAGGAGGCTGAGGCAGGAGAATTGCCTGAACCCAGGGGCGGAGGTTGCGGTGAGCCAAGATCGCACCATTGCACTCCAGCCTGGGTAACAAGAGCGAAACTCCGTCTCAAAAAAAAAAAAAAAGAAAAGAAAAGAAAAGAAAAGAAACACTTTTCCCTCCCTGCCAAGGAATTTCATGGAAAATACATGGGAGGAGGGAACAGTGAGAGCCCTGGATACTGGACAAAAGTGCATGGGTAAAATGGGACTGGGGCAGGTGGCTGACGAGGTTATGAGACCAGCACCAACTGGTGATAAACTTCTGGTGGCCCTGCCTCTTGATTCTCCAGATAGGGACTCACTCTCCCTTTTCCCTGTGACAAAGCTGAGGCTGGCCCAGGGAGAGGAGCCATTTGTCCTGGGACAGCCCTGGAGACCCTGATGCCATCTCAGATCTGTTGTGTCTAGTAGCCCTGATCTGTGCCTGCTCACTTTGAACACAGAATCTCACTGTGAGGCAAACCTTACCTTGGGGACATCTGGCTTCTGTTCCGCTCTGCCTCTCTTGCTGAGATACGGTTCTTCAGGTCTCAGCAAAAAGACAGCAGTCAGAATGGATGAGAAGCTGGTGACTTCCAAAGGTTTGATAGAGCAGATCGATATTTTGGGGACGTTTAGTTTTAGTTTGTTTTGCGATCTGGTATCGCCAAGACTTGCAAACAATCCGCCTGAATTCTGAATTCTGGCCCAGGAATATGCTTTATTTCTCCTGGGTTGTTTTCTCTTAGATGCCAACTGTTAAAATGGGGGTAAAATGTAACATAAGAAGTCTGTTTTTTCTTCTTCTCTTTAAAATGTTGGAAGATGTGGCAGTGTTGGGTCCAGATTTCTATGATTGCTTTGGATAGCAACTGAGTAGAGATACTCCTTTCTCCCTTTCCCCCAGACACGAGTTTTCTACTTCTGTGAAATCTCCTTTGTTCCCACCGCTTTCTACCAGCCTTGAGTCAGTGGTCTGTGAAATCCAAAAGGGCACCTTGGAGGTTGGGCGTGGTAGCTCACACCTATAATCCCAGATCTTGGGAAGACCAGGGTGGGAGGATCGCTTGAGTCCAGGAGTTCAAGGCTATCCTGGGTACTGTAGCGAGACCCCATCTCTACAAAAATAAAAAATTATGTGGGTGTTGTGTGTGCCTGTAGTCCCAGCTACTCGGGAGGCTGAGTTGAGAGGATGGCCTGAGTCCGGGAGTTCGAGGCTGCAGTAAGCCCTGATCATACTTCTGCTCTCCAGCTTGGGTGATAGAGGGAAACCCTGTCTCTTTAAAAAACAAATGAAAACGGCTGGGTGCAGTGGTTCACACCTGTAATCCCTGCACTTTGGGAGGCTGAGGTGTGTGGATCACTTGAGGTCAGGAGTTCGAGACCAGCCTGGGTAACATATAGTGAAACCCCATCTCTACCAAAAATAACAAAAGTTAGCTAAGATGTGGTGGCACACGCTTGTAGTTCAAGCTACTTGAAAGCTGAGTCAGGAGAATCGCTTGAACCCAGGAGGTGGAGGTTTCAGTGAGCCGAGATCATGCCACTGTGCTCCAGCCTGGGCGATAGAGCGAGACTTTGTTTCAAAAAAAATAAAAAAATAAAAATCCCCCCACGAAAGCCCTCCTTGGAAAGCTTACTTCCACCAGTTTTCCCAGCCAGAAACTGGGTTGACCCAGTGGATCATTCATGGTGGCCAAGTATGTCTGAGATGTCCCTGTATCAGCTGAGTGGTCACCCACGGCAGCGGTTGTGGTGTTTCCACCTCCCCTGAGGGTCACTGGCTCTGGTTCCAGAAAAGCTGCTGGTGTCTTTTGCTCTTATGGGTCTTTGCAGAGCAAAATTGGAGTGTGGGATACGGATATTAGGGAGATGGAACCTGCCTGGGATGTTGGAAAATTTATGCCTGGAGGCTAACAGGCTCCTTTTTCAGTGATTTTCTTTGTCAATTTTCTCACATTCAAAAACATGTGCCTCCTTTTAGGGATGCAGTTTTCCAAAGTTTCCTTCTATTCCCATTTAGAATCGCAGTGGGAAAAGGCAGCTCTTTATGTCTGAGTGTGGTGTGAGGAATCAGTCTCTTTTCAAGGTGTTGTCGGATGCAGTGGCTGATTTATTTTTCTCCACCAAGAGAAAACCAAAGAGGATTGTTTCTTTAATATTAGGCTTAAAGTGACTAAGTCCATTGCACTTTTAGACAATTTAGCTGAAGTTTTGTTGTTCATGTTCTGTTATGGTAGAACATGCTTGTTAAGTGGATCATTAATTAATCCTTCAAACCAACTTGATTTTTTTTTGAGACGGAGTTTCACTCTTGTTACCCAGGCTGGAATGCAATGGCGGGATCTCGGCTCACCGCAACCTCCGCCTCCTGGGTTCAGGCAATTCTCCTGCCTCAGCCTCCTGAGTAGCTGGGATTACAGGCACGCGCCACCATGCCCAGCTAATGTTTTGTATTTTTAGTAGAGACGGGGTTTCATCATGTTGACCAGGATGGTCTCGATCTCTTGACCTCGTGATCCACCCGCCTCGGCCTCCCAAAGTGCTGGGATTACAGGCTTGAGCCACTGCGCCCGGCCTGATTTTTTTTTTAATAGAGTAACAATCTTGGCAAACATGCTTGGCTAATTTGGTTCACATCAAGAAAAAAACAATCTTGGAAATTACTGAAGTTGACTTAAACTCTTTATCTTTTGCCCTCCTAGGGCCTGGGTTCCAATAAATAATTGCTACCTCATGTCTAAAGAAATTCCTTTTTCTGTGAAAAAGACGAAGAGCATCTTCAACAGTGCCATGCAAGAGATGGAGGTTTATGTGGAGAACATCCGCAGGAAGTTTGGTGTTTTTAATTACTCTCCGTTCAGGACACCCTACACGCCCAACAGCCAGTACCAAATGCTGCTCGATCCCAGCAACCCCAGCGCCGGCACGGCCAAGATAGACAAGCAGGAGAAGGTCAAGCTCAACTTCGACATGACGGCGTCCCCCAAGATCCTGATGAGCAAGCCCGTGCTGAGCGGGGGCACGGGCCGCCGGATTTCCTTGTCGGACATGCCGCGCTCCCCCATGAGCACAAACTCTTCCGTGCACACGGGCTCCGACGTGGAGCAGGATGCCGAGAAGAAGGCCACGTCGAGCCACTTCAGCGCGAGCGAGGAGTCCATGGACTTCCTGGATAAGAGCACAGGTCAGCCTCGTGCGGGGGAGCTGGGTGGAGACGGCTTGGACACGGGGGTTCCCGTGGGTGCACACCTGGCGGGCCCAAGCAGGCGAGCATCACAGCAATCGCGGGGAACTGCAGGGGGCCACAGAGCAAATTTTCAACAAGTCACCAAATGGGATTCTTGCTGCTAGGGACCCAGAAATGAGAAAAGTATCCCCAAAAGGCCACCTTGAAGGTTATACCTAGAAGTAGATGGAGATGGCCGGAGGTCCTTTGGAGTTCTGTTCAGATGTCACTGCGTTCTGGATTAATGATTTTCCGTAACGCAGTTTTCTTTCCTAAGAATTTTGTTTTAGTTGAAATTGTATTTTTCTATCAAAACCATACATTCACACTAAACAGCGCAAATGCTAGAGAAACACATGCTATGCAAAATAATACTTGACCAGGCGCCGTGGATCATGCCTGTAGTCCCAGTACTTTGGGAGGGCAAGGCAGGCAGATTGCTTTAGCTCGGGGGTTCCAGACCAACCTGGGTGACATGGCAAAAACCCCGTCTCTACCAAAAATGCAAAAATTAGCTGGTCGTGGTGGCATGTGAATATAGTCCTAGCTGCTCTGGGACTATAGGTTGAGGTGGGGGGATTGCCTGAGCTGGGAGGTTGAGGCTGCAGTGAGCCATGTTTGCGCCATTGTATTCTAACCTGGGTGAAGTGTGATCCCCTGTGAGGCCCTGTCTCAAAAAACTATAAAAAGAAGTACAAAATAATAATAGTACTCTGCCTTCCCAGTGTGATCCCATTCTCTTATAGGTCATATCCTTTAATAGTTGTGTTGTGTTTTTTTCTTTTGTGACATAGTCTTGCTCTGTCACCCAGGCTGGAGTGCAGTGGTGTAATCTTGGTTCACTGTAACCTCCACCTCCCCGGTTCAAGCGATTCTCGTTCCTCAGTCTCCTGAGTAGCTGGGACTACAGGCGTGTACCACCACATCCAGCTAATTTCTGTATTTTCGGTAGAGACAGGGTTGGTCTTGAACTCCTGACCTTGAGTGATCCACCTGCCTTGGACTCCCAAAGTGCTGGGATTGCAGGTGTGAGCCACCACGGCTGGCCCAAAGTCTTAAATTTTTAAGTAAAACCTCTAATTCTTACATGTCAGGTTTTTAAGTAAAATCTCCAGTTGTTAAATGTCAGGTTAAAATGTCTTAGAAGATTTTCTAGAATGAATAAAGCAGGTTGGAGTACCAGCTTTAGGCTTCTGGCCAAAGGCTTAACCTTGGACAACCTTTCATACTCCCTTCCTTTCTCAGCCTCTCTCTCTCTCTCTCCTTCTTTCCCTCCCTCCCTCCCTTCCTTCCCATAGGAATCCTTTAAGGAGCAAGCATCAGTTCTTCAAGAGACCACAAATGTCCTCAGAAGTTAAAATATTAAGGTCTTAGTCAATTGTGAGCTCAAAGAATCTGACTTTGCTTCTGTTGTTTCTTGGGAATTTTTTTTTCTTTTCCTTGGGTTATTTTCAAGAAATGCTTCTAGCTGCTTCCCAGATGGCTATAGGGGAGGAATAGAGAGAGCTAGTGACCTGTGGCTTTTAATTGTGTCAAATAAAGGCTGCAGTCTGTCTGTCTCTAGTTCTCATTCATAGCCATGTGGTACTAGACACTCAAGGTTGAGTCGTAGAGTTTTGTTTTGGAATTGACATAATTTGTGTTGACACAGTTTCAGAAAAGTCTTCCTTTTTGCCCCCTTGTTTCTGACCAGAGTCCTTAAAAGCTTACTCTTGTTCCATGACACGGTTCCATTTAAGCCAAGTTCACAAAATTGGTACTTAATTACACAAACCCTTCGGCATATTAATTCCCATAAAGAGCATGCTTTTCAGTAAATGTTTAAAATTTTAACCTTGGCAGCGACTTTGTGAATTAGTGTTGCCTGAACTTTCATTGCCATGGTTTTCTGCCATGTTTTGTTACATACTTAGATATTAAAATTGTAACTCAGTTTTGTCCTAAGCTAAACACAATGTATAGGCTCATGTTTTTATTGCTTGTTGTGGTTTTTCCTAATATATGTGAAATTAATACATAACTAGTAAAGCGAAACGTGGTATATATGCCACCATTGGTTCTGTACCACACTGCAAAAAATTCAGTTTTGTAGGAATATAAGAACACGGCTAATGTGTTTAGTTTAAAGGAGAAAGATAAATGAGATCAGACTTCCTGGCAAAATACCTCATTCTTTTGAGTGGCTTTTTTTTTGTTTTGTTTTTATTGTATTTTAGGTTTTGGGGTACATGTGAAGAACATGCAAGATTGTTGCGTATGTACACACTTGGCAGTGTGATTTGTTGCCTTCCTCCCCATCACCTTTGAGTGGCTTTTTTAGGTGAGAAGTTAGTAGAAGCCCCCATTTCAGTAGGCTTTTAAAGTCCCTTTCCTAAAATATAATCTCCTTGCTGGCATGTGCTTTGGTCATTTTACTAATCATGAATTAGCCAATGTGTAGTGAAGGATGAGAGAGGGATATTGAAAATCATTTTAATCTTACAAATTGCCCCCTTTTCTGTCAGGGGCTAGATAGTACGTATTTTAGGCTTTTTGGGTCTTTTTTCCAACGATGCAACTATTTAGTCATCGTTGCACTAACATAGCCACAAACTGCTGTAGTCCCAGCTACTGCAGGGGCTGAGCTGGGAGGATCAGTTGAGTCTGGGAGTTTGAGGCCACAATGACCTATGATTGTGCCACTGCACTCCAGCCTGGACAATAGGGTGAGACCTTAGCTCAATAGATAGATAGATAGAGAGAGAGAGATAGATAGGCAGAGGGAAAATAAAGCAGTCATAGTGTGTGGCCGAGTTCCAATAAAACTTTTTTAATGGACATTGGAATTTATTTTTTTATTTTTTATTTTATTTAATTTTTACATTTTTTGAGATGAAGTCTCGCTGTGTTGCCCAGACTGGAGTGCAGTGCCATGATCTTGGCTCACTGCAACTGCCCCTTGCTCGGTTCAAGTAATCCTCCTACCTCAGCCTCCCGAGTAGCTGGAATTACAGGCCTGCGTTACCATGCCCAGCTATTTTTTGTATTTTTGTAGACAGGGTTTCACTTTGTTGGCCAGGCTGGTCTTGAACTCCTGACCTCAAATCATCTGCCCTCCTCGGCCTTCCAAGGTGGCTGGACACTGGAATTTAAATTTCATGTAAGTTGCATGTTTCATGAACTATTAATTATTTTCCCCCCAAACATTAAGAAATGTTAAAATACCTTTGTTAGCTTGCAGGCCAGGCAGGAACAGGTGGTATTCCCAGTTTGACCCATGGGCTATCATAGACTAAGAGGATTAGAAGAAACTGAGTCAGTCTCCCCATTTTACAGAAAGCAAATTGAGGGCTATGCAGAGTGTAAGGGAGGTGCCTAAGTCTCTACAGCCAGATGCTGCATCTAGTCCTGTTTCCTTTCACTGCACCCTACTGCCCTCTGCTGTTAGCAGTGATAAAAACATTTAGTGGAGGGAGATGGGAAATGTGTTTTAAAATGCTTCCACAGTCGGGATAATATAATCGAGGTAAGACAGTAGTTCATCCAAAATTATGTTAAAAAATTGCCATGTCATGGAATAGAAAATAATACAAGTAGCTTCACCAGTGAAAGTTTTGTAATCAGCAACGTGAAACTACTAATTGAAATGTTATTGCATGAAACTTTTATGAGAATGTAGAAACCTTCTTTTTGTTTAGAAGATTGGAGAACTCGGAGCCGTGTGCCTGTAGTCTTCAGAACCAGATATTTAGTTTTCTAAGAAGCACTTTGCTCAGCCAGAAGCCTTTAACTCACAGTGTCCTGTAATCTTGCTGCTTTAATGGCCAAAGCAGTTAATAATCTCAGTGATTTTTGTAGTTCCCTCTTTATTATATAGACCTCCTGGCCAGAATGGTCAGGTATTTGCTAGTATTTGCTGGCAGGATCTGAATGTAAGTCATTAATATGTATTAGGGTCAGAGTCATGGGGCTTGACATTCACCACCTTCTGGGCTAATGGTCCTTTGCTCTCACAGCTCCGCTGTGGTTACTGTTTAAGAAAGGAAAGGGGGGCCGTGTGCAATGACTCACGCCTGTAATCCCAGCACTTTGGGATGCTGAGGCGGGTGAATCACGAGGTCAGGAGTTCGAGACCATCTGGGCTAATGCGGTGAAATCCTGTCTCTACTAAGAATACAAAAAATTAGCTGGGCGTGGTGTTGCACACCTGTAATCTCAGCTATTCAAGAGACTGAGGCAGGAGAATTACTTGAACCCGGGAAGTGGAGGTTACAGTGAGCTGAGATTGTGCCACTGCACTTCAGCATGAGTTACAGAGCAAGACTCCATCTCAAAAAAGAAAGAAAGAAAGGAAAGAAGTTTCATATACTCCTTTTTTAAAAAAAAAAAATTGTGAAATCAATATGTTTTTGTTATAAAATAGTTCTTTATTACAGAATCACTGATGGCTGGGCGCAGTGGCTCATGCCTGTAATTCTAGCACTTTGGGAGGCTGAGGGGGGCGGATCACTTGAGGTTAGGAGTTTGAGACCAGCCTGGCCAACATGGTGAAACCCAGTCTCTAATAAAAATACAAAAAATTAGCTGGGTGTGGTGGCACATGCCTGTAAGTCCCAACTATTTGGGAGGCTGAGGCAGGAGAATCGCTTGAGCTGCAGTTCAGCCTGGGCGACAGAGCGAGACTCCATCTCAAAAAAATAAATAAATAAAGTCACTGATAATTCCACCTCCCACAGCCAGCCCTTAGACTGTGTTTCCAGTGCTTTTTCTATGTTGGTTTTTAAGTTCTACTGTTAAGCTGAAAACTCAAATACAGGGATCAGGCAGATGTGACAGTGAGCGAGGTGGGGTGTGGTAGTTAGAGACGGGTGAATGAAAGCACACAGATGTTTCTCACCACACCTGTTACACATTGTGTGCTTGTGTGTGCACAGGGGTGTGTAACAACCCAAGGGGTTAGGGGCTGTTCTGATACATAG